TTTTGGCCAAATGTAGTATTCAAAATTGGGGTGCGCAGTGATGGCGCATTAGATTCGAGTGCAAAGTTCGCCGATGACGTCAACCAAATTTAAATCGTAACAATGGATTACTGTATTTCTCGACACATTTATCGTTGACACATTATTGCATAGAGGATACAAATGCAGAGTACGTAGTCACGAAATGGAGGGCAAACAGAGAAGAATGTCATATGACGCTACTTTCAAACGTAAAGTAATTCTTTATGCTGAAAAAAATGGCAATAGAAAGGCAGGGAGAGAGTTCAAACGTAGCTGAGAGCAATGTTCGCTTGTGGCGGCAACAGAAATTGGCACTGTTTGCAACTAAAGCTAGTAGAAAGAAATTCACTGGCCCTCGCAAAGGAAGACACCCTAAAATTGAAGAAAAAGTTTTGGAATTTGTACGTGAAAGGAGGAAGAATGGACAACCTGTGACTAGTGACACCATAAGAAATAAAGCAAAAGAGGAGGCTGAAGTTCTTGGAATACCGAAACAAGAGTTTAAGGCTAGCCGTGGATGGGTGGATCGGTTTATGAAGCGGATGGGCTTATCTCTAAGACGCCGTACAACAATATGCCAAAAGCTTCCTGCAGATTTTGAGGGAAAACTACTAACATTTCAGCGGTATGTCATCACACTTCGGAAGGAAAAGAATTTTTCAATGGGGCAAATTGGCAACGCTGACGAGACGCCAATTTGGTTTTTGATATGCCTCGTAACTACACCATTACGGAGAAGGGGACTAAGGAAGTTATCATCAAAATAGTGAATAAGACGTTTACTATTAATCACTGATTGTAGAAACTGTTAGCTAGATAGAAAGTACCATTTTTTCATGTTCAACTTTACGATAGTACGTATACGTAAAAGTAGTAATGTTGTCACTCGGCATTCGGTTATAGGTCATCAGTTTAAATCTGGTAAAATGGCATGCAGAAATTATAAAATTAAAAATATGAAACCGTAATTTACGAAATAAAGAAGAATTATGATTTAAACGTTATCAAAATTTACAAAAAAAAAGCTTAATATTTATTTGTTTACTTTATTAAACATTTCTTTCAGTGTAAGTTGTTTAAGTTGCTTCGTTTTTTATGTTATAATACATTCTCTTTAATTCTATAAACAGACATAATTTCTTGTTCAGTTACAAAGTTCCGCTGTTCAAGTGATATAATTGCTGTGTCGAGAATACCGACTAATTTGTCAATCGAAATTTTTTTTTTCAATAACCTCTGTCACTTTCTTGCCTATCGAAGCGAATATAATGACGAGGCATTTTGATTTAAATATAATCAAAGACGAGATGAAATAATACATTGAGTAGCAATATAAGCCAAATAAATAAAAACAATCTGCCCTTAAGATAAGGATAGTGCTGACAGATCAACTTCCAATTCAATGCACGCCGCGGTGTAAAGATAAACAAAAGTTTAGATAAACAAGTTAAAGTTTAGAAAACTTTATCCATTTTTTGCAGCAATTCAAACTTTTGTTTAATGGACTCCGAAAGATACTTTCGCTTTGTATACCTTTACATATTAGTAAATATATATCGGAATTCTATTTTTACAAACGAAAGTCAAGCTTACTTTTATAAATTGCTCTAACAGTCTGCAAAAAATAATAATCCAGATCCATTCGAAGATTAAGGAACAACGCAATCTGCAACATTAACTGAAATAGATAATTAGATAATTTTAGCTTAGCTTATCCCGTCCGTTATACATTAAACGCGCATTCGTAAACGTATTTTGCACACGCAAATTAGCAGCGGTAAAGGTCTTACGCGCATGCATCAACGCGACGCATGCGCAATAAGTTTGTAGCTTTGAGGTCCGGATTATAGATCATTCCGGATTATGGGTGTCCGAATTAACGACTTTTGACTGTATACGGTAGTGGTAATTAACAATGATTGTTTCACATAACAATAGCCCACTAATAGGTTAATTCTGTGTTCTGTTACTTTATGTATAAATTCATTGTTGTATAATTGGTATCTAAATTTAAATAAATTATCATTACCATTGATTGATAGTTTTATACAAATCCATGTTTATAAAAAAGATCAATAAATTCTCATACCATTGATGCGATTACATTCGCCGACAAAACAATTTTTTTATTATTTAAAGTTTTAAAATGGGGATGCGCATTAGATTCGCATAAATACGGTAATCATTTTCTAATTATTATCTATTAATACATATAGTTCATTGATGTATAGGATGTTTTAAATGAAAGATTTGAGTTTGTGTACTCTAAGGAATTTGCCTTAGAATTTACCGGTGACCAGCTCCATGCAGGATTTTGATAATGTCAGATTAGAAACCTTGTAGGGAATGTGTCTTTTACTAAATGTAACTTGTAGCCAATCCTCACTAGATTGTGATGTATCACTATGTCTAATATGAAACAGAAACTAAGAAGGGTGTAAAAGACCCTTTTATTTAAAACTGAGTAAGCTGAACAGAAGGCACACCTAGTGCTTACAAATCAGTAGGCATTTAAGGTGTGAACTCAAAAATAGAATTTTAAATTTAAAACTAAATCTAAGTATTTATTTTCCAAAGACTGTACAGAGTAACTTAAATATGGAAGTTGGCTCTTAAGCTGAAGGTGGCTTGGCTTGACAGCACTGTCGGTAAGAATAAAGCAACACCAAAGACAGGAAAGCTTATCTTAGAATAACAAACTAGTTATGTGGTCTTCAGCAAGTAGAACATGTTCTATCTAAAAAAATCTCTAGCCCTCACTAAATACACGCAAGCTAATTTGCATGCTGGCGGGAAAACGGAAACAGAAATGACAGCACAAATTTAGAACATAGAATAACTGATTAATTAATCCTACAACCTGATGTAATAACATGATCATGTAGATGTTTCTTAATGTACTGTAAAAATGAAATATATATAGTAATCATACATGGTGCTTAATGACTGAAAGGTATCCTTGTAAATAAGTTCACATTATGTATAATTTAATATTTTTAATCATCTTATATTTTAGAATCTGTTGTATTTCTGTTATGTGATACATTTTCATATTGAGTTCAGATTTCCACCTGCTTCAAGCATTCAGCTTTTCTTCTCCACCTCATAATTATGGTACAGAATATGAAGATCTACCGTAGATTATTATTAATTATTATGAAGTATCTTACTAAGTATTCTCTTCTGAATGGTTATGAAAAAAAGAAAATACTTTTTCTGTGCTGTAGGTGTTATTTTCAGTCTAAACATTTCATAAATACCTAATTAGCATTTCAGCAAGTTTATGTTAAGTGATTTTCTGAATATTCTTATTATCATTTTGCATTTAACTTATTCAATGGTTTAACACAGTTTTATTACAGCAGCTTGTATTAATCTTTCAGAGTTGATTCACTTGTGTCATCTTGAAACTATTCAGTAATTTCTTCTTTTGAAAAAGAAGAAAACTTAACATAACTTCTTTTTTTTTTTTTTTTTTTTTTTTTTTTTTTTTTTTTTTTTGTAGTTGGTGAATTGTTTAGAGAAGCACTTAGATCAGTGGGTCTCAACCTTTTGACTAACGCGTACCATCTAAACAAAAAGTTAAACCTTTAGTACCACCTCTACATTTTACAATGATTATTTTTCATTTTCTCAATAGAAGTATAAAATATATTTTGCCATTTGAACAACCTATTGGCTGGCTATTTGTATTAAATATGCACACATCAAAAACATATTAGATTAAAAATTGTTTACCATTTTAATTATCAAAATTTAAATTATAATACTTTAATTCTAAAATTAGTGAGAAATTTGGGACTGTTTAAGAAAGATCAATTTCTTTGTCTCATCTTATTTCACTCAGTTTTAACCCTAAAATAGGATCCACTTTTAATTTTGTTCTGCATTTATTTTTCAAATGTATCATAGAAGAAAATCCTTGTTTGGACAATAGTTTATCAAAAAGGCAATAAAAATTTAATAGCTCTATTTGAAATGCCTTTAAACAGTTCAGTCAAAAGTTAACAAGTGTGTTATTTTTTTAATTTTTAGTTGGAGTTTGTTCACAGGAAATCTCTGTCAATTGTTCATTTTCTTCACGAGATAAAATTTCAGGTACATTTGAACAAAATGGTTTTCTAATCCAATTTCCTTTTTACATAAATGGTGGTGATATAAAGTATAGATATGTTAATAAATCGATCAACTCGAAAAGAATTAACGAGATACTATTATCTTTTTATAGCAGCCTATTTTTATTTAGTATTAAATACAACATCCATTTCTAATAATCCATTTCCTTCTTTTAAAAATATCATTTATGGCAAGTTTTTGTTATGCCTATGGCTAAAAGAATGTTTGTGAAAATAAAAACAGATTATTTTGCTAAAGTCTCTGAGCGGCTATTGACCTCAAACAAAGCTCAGATCGCAAAAATTCATGAGTGTTAAAGAAACACTTAAACAGGATGTTATAGCATTTAATTTTTAATTTTAATAGTTAAAAATACTTTGTTTCTTTACTTACCACCTATTTTTCTCTTGTGTACCACCAGTTGAGAATCACTAACTTAGATAATTCACATATACATATTGATTGATCATACAAGTAATATTAATAGTAATTTTTCTACCTTTGGTTGAATTTTGCTTCAGAATATTCAGATATAGTTTCACGAAACTTTGTATAACATATTTGTGCATGTATCCATGTAATGCATCAGTGAAAATTCTATTATTTTTGCTAAAGATCACTTATAATGTATACAATTTATCTTCAGAATATTCTCAAATTACTTGCATGTAGCACTTTTAGATAGCAAATATGTTGGTATATCATATTATTATCAAGTATGTTAAACCATTTAATGTCTGGTTATCAAACTTTTTACTGTATCTAATCAAATTTGTATTTTTATTCCATCTACTAGTGTGGAATAATTGTGTATAGATTCATCATTCTTTATATTCCTTTACTGTCATTGAAAACAAAAAGATAGTTTAATACTGTATTATGTTTAGTGAGTATTTGTTTTTAAGCATTTCATGAATGTGTATTATCTGCAAGCTGCTAAACATAATTTTGGATTTTGCAGCTCTGAGAAACTTGTTGATGATCAAATAAGGTAAGCAAATTCATAAATTTCTTTGATATTTCTTTATTTGAGAAATATTGAGTATTTTCGAATAGTGATTTTTTCAAAAATTTGTGGTTATTAAGCAAATATTTTGACTTTAAATAGAATAATAAAATTTCCTTAATATGTTAAGCAGAACATTTCAACTTTGTGAAAAAAGTTCATTTAAACTTTTGTGTATGACAGATTGTTTGCATAAAAAATTCGAAATTCCTTCGAAAATACAGCATGCGTCAGTAAATTTGGCTAATCTTCCCTCAAAATTATGTTTTAATTCCATTTAATTTCTACTTGAGTATTTATTCTTGATTAATAAAATTTTAAAAGGTTTAAATATATTTTTAACTCCTTAAAGTGCTTGCTTCACATTTATTACATCTGCATAAAAAATTTACTATCCTGCATTAGCAAAACAGGCCTTCTCTGATTTTGACATAATATCCATTCTCACAAGTAATCCAATAGAATACTAATTGCCAATCTTGTAAAAGACATTTGAAAGATATTTGATGGGACCGAGATCTGGAAAATATATTGCAACTGCATGTAAGCAATACCTGTGCTCTCAAAATCTTCATCCCTAGCTCTGCATTTTATGAAGGACAGATTTCATGGTTATATTATCAAATAAAAATATATACCCTCTCTCTCTTTGGATTTAAGGAATTAATACCAATATCTTTCTATTGTCGCACTTCCTTCTGTAAACATGGGTTGGGGTAATCCCAAAGAAAAATTCAGTCCATATTAAAAGCAGTAGTAATGTGATGTCTTGAAGATTGTGATCGTTAATATTGTAGTGTTCAAAGATATGTTGGGCTGTTTGCATGTGTATACGTTCTCTATGGAACATTGTATGTTAATCAGTTTAAGTCTAATTTTTTTTCCCATTTGTGAAGAGACTACATTGAAGTGTAGTTTATCTAATTTATATGATAATGGCTCTATTTTAATTTTTTCTTTAGCTTAATACTGAAAGCAGTGCAAACTTGGCTATCCTGTGGCATCAAATGCATCACAATATTGTAAAAGGTTATACGTAAAGTTGGTATCTCAGTACTAATTTACAAGTTTTGTGGTCATTCCTTGAAGATTCAATAAAATTATTTGGCAGTTGCATTTGACTAGAAATGTAATGTCATTTTCTGCAGAGAATGCTGTATCCTTAGGATAAATTAAAGTGTTCCTCTAATAACTGTTCTATTTATAGTGAATTGTTTTCATAAACAATGAAGCTCTAGAATCAAATACTGCATGGAAAGGAATTAATAACTTCCATAACAAACTGTTATTGTTCCATGTTATCAACAGCATACTAGTGTTGAGAATCTTCTAAATATATTCTTTTTTATCAACAAAGCGTATCTATCTAAAATTAATTTTAACACTTTTATTTTTTAATGTTAAAATTGTTATGGACAGTGGAGTTATTTTATTCTTTATGTAATTTGCATATCTCATCAGCGATAAGAGTAAATTTTTATCTGTGCCATCGCTGTTTAAGAACTTAAATTCCGTACTTAACGTTTATGAGTATAAAGGATGTGTGTATCAAGATCACATATGAGACCTTATCAAATTTCTCATTATTCATAATGCTCAACTAACATTTTTAAAAAAGAAACTGTAATTTTTATATGAGGGAAAGGTGAAAACTTTTGAGGGTTATTTGAGCTACAGTTTCTCATTATGATTTCCCTAAGTAATCATCTCTAACATTAATGCAATTATGTTGCATTCTGTTTTGAATTTGGTTACGTATAAAATGATGAACTACTGATAGCAGAATGATATGTCTTAAGTCTCACAGCACTAAACAGCTGCTTAATGACCCCACTGTCTATGTTGAACTGACATCCCCAAAGTGAATTCTTCATAATCGGGAACAGATAAAAACCTGACAATTACAAATCGAGGGAATAAGGTGGAAGAGAAGTTAAAATTGATTGTTTGTGCAGTTGCGGCACAGGGAAGGTGCATTGTCTTGAGATAGGATTACTCTAAAAAACGTGAGGAGAACATGTCAGTTTCATAAAATTTTGTGCACTACATCATAAAACTCCAACCTGGTATCCTAGAAAATTTTCGCTACCTAGTTTCACTTCTTTTCTAAGATTCAAAATTTGTACCCTTCTTTCATTTGTAGAACGCTGGCTTTAATATTTCGAAATAAAAACTGCTTGAATTTAAAAAAGTAGAAATTCCAATGATTGTTGGGTTATGCAAAGAATGCTTTACCCTGTACCATACAATGTAAATCTATTTCATATGATAAAGTTTTCCAGAACAATAGGTGTGCTTATGGTTAAGTGGATTGCTACGTGTTGGACATGTGTACCCCATCATTAACTGTAGCTAGGACATATGTGTCCCAGCCTTTGGCTTGAAAGCCATTTGTCCAAACATCCCTAATGCTAAATTTACTTTATTTATGACATACAGTGTCTCAGAAAAGTGATGGGGACACTTGTGCTTTACAAAGGAAACTGTAATAAATAAATTTAAAAAACATGTAAAAACATTTTTGGTGGGTGTGTTTCATACTTAAATTTAGTAACAATTATTACATAACATACATTTTCTCAAATATTAAAATATTAATTTAATAAAAATACAATTGTTTAGAACGGAGCAAAAAATGGCTCACATAAGTGATGGGACACCATTACTATGCAACAAAAATCGTCTGAAGTAAGCAATAAATTTTTTGGGGTTTTATTTTTACTCAAAAGCAATTGGCAATAATTTATAAATCGTCTGCAGTATTTCTCTCCAGTTTGTTTTGGAATTTTTGTGTTTTTTAGCTCTGTGCAGCCATGAATGCTAAACGAAAAGAAACTTTGCCTGAAATTCGAAAATTAGTTATTAATTTGCATATTGAACGTGGAAAATCTATTAGAGAAACTGCTGAAACAGTTAACTTCAGTCATTCAACAGTTTTCAATATCATTAAACGATATAAAAAGAATCATATGATTCAGGATAAAAGAAGACCTGGCCGACCATCAAAGCTATCCAATGGAATAAAGCGAATTATCGTTCGAAATATTAAAAAAAATCCAAGAATGAGTGCTCCTAAAGTTGCTGCTGATTTACAAGCATTATATGGAGTAATTGTTAATCCTGAGACTATTAGAAGAGTAATTCGATTTGCTGGATATCACGGTAGAGCAGCCAGGAAAAAATTCTTCGTAAGTGAAAAGAATAGAAAACTCAGACTGGCTTTCGCAAAATCCAACATAAATAAGAATTCTGATTACTGGAATGAAGTTTATATTTGCTGATGAGAGTAAATTTAATATATTTGGTTCTGACGGTAGAATCTTGGTGTGGAGAAAACCCAGGGAAAGAATTTCGCAAACAGAACTTGGTGCCAACAGTAAAACATGGTGGAGGAGGAGTTATGGTATGGGGGTGTATGTCGTCCGCTGGAGTTGGTAATCTTGTTTTTATTGACAGTATAATGGATCAGTACAAGTATATTGACATTTTAAATCAAAATTTGAAATCTTCAGCACGAAAATTGAACCTTCATAACGATTTTAAATTCTACCAGGACAATGACCCCAAGCACAGTGCTTTGAACGTTAGACTCTGGCTGCTGTATAACTGTCCTGAAATAATAAAAACACCACCACAATCTCCACAATTAAATCCCATAGAGAATATTTGGCAAGAATTGGAATCAAGAATTCGCAAACACACCATTTCTTCAAAACAACAATTAAAATCGGTGCTTCAAGAAGAATGGGGTAAAATCACTCCAGAAATCACAAAAAAATTAGTCGAATTCATCCCAAGAAGATTAAATCATGGTTTAAAAATAAAAGGAAATCCAACAAAATGGAATGACTGTTTTTTACTGCCTTCCTGGTGATTTTATAGAACTGGGACAGTTTACATTTTTCCAATGGCTTATTGTTCCCAATGTTTGTTACCCATTTGGTTCATTGGTGAATGGTTGGACTGTAAAACTCAGTATTTAGTATTGTATTCTAGCTAGGCACATGATGGTTTGTACTAAAATACAAATAAAACTCTTAAAAAATAAAATACAAATAAAACTACTTGGATTTGAGTAATTGAGGCATCATTTCTAAAAATATGATTATGCAAGCATGTTGCTATCTAATTTACAGTTTCATACCTACCTGTTGAAGTGTTGTATCTGCTAAATGTAAATGTTCTTGAGTGCAGCTGTGAATGTTATCGCCTAATATTGGCCAAACCATAGCCATTTTAAAAATTTCCTTGATGGATATCATATGAATAGCGGTGTTTAAAGTTAGATGCTTTTAATTAATCAGTTTTCAATTTCTTTTTCCAGTATTGCTGTCAAGACAAAAGAAGAACTTATTAACCAGAGAATTGCCATGAAAGCAATCCAGACTAAAATGACAACATTAGTTAGTATCCTTTTGCTGTTTAAAATTTTTCTTTGAGTTGATTTAAGTTTGCAAAGCCTATGTTGTAAAAAAAAAAAAAAAACTAAGGGCTTGCACATTTTATATCTTTAACCCTTTGACTACTAACAGGACATATATTTCCCACTAAAAGTTAAAAAAGAAGGAGAGAATTAAAATTCACGTAGGAGAAGGAGAATCTCCTGAATGTTGGGGATCATCTTCCAATAGTTGGAAAATCAGCATGCCACTGTGCTTGTTGTATGCGAATGAACATAGAAAAGAGAACAAATATGAGTTACCCAATATATAATGTTGGGTTATGCAAAGAATGCTTTACCCTGTACCGTACAATGTAAATCTATTTCATACGATAAAGTTTTCCAGAATAATGTGCTTATGGTAAGTCGATCGCTACGTGTTGGCCATATGTATACTCCTCCATTAACTACAGCTGGAACATATGTGTCCCATCTTTTGGCTTGAAAACCATTTGTCAAAAAATCTCAAATGCTAAATTTATTTTTTTATTTGTACATTTTGTTCACTTGGATAGAAAACGAGATTTAAAAAAAAAAAAAAATTTAAATTCGTAATCAAAAGGTTAATACTCAAAATGCCTTATTATTTTGTAAAATATACTGAATGTTTTATCTACTTTATAAAGTTAACCTTAATCATTATGAAGATCGTTTTCCTGTTATTAACAGTATAATCCAAAGGATCAATCTTAGGAAAAGAAGGGACTCTATTATTTTGGCAATAGTCATCAGTATTTGCTTGATTTTGTTCCTTATATACACATTTCATTGATTGAAATATCAGTACTGAGTTTTTGAAACTAATCATTTATTTATCTTAATATGTGACATAAATTTATATGTGTTTCTATCATTATTTTATTGTCTGATTTTGTGTATAAAAATTAATAAAATTGTAACATTTCTATTTTGTTTGTTGTGATAATTTTTCTTTCTGGGAATACTTATATAAAAATCTGCCTTAGCACAAAGATAAAAGGAATCAGGATCTGATTTTAAATATTATATTTACTAGCATATTTTCTCTCCCCCATGTCCTACTGATTTTACTGCTTGAAAATTGTGAGAAGAATTATATACAGTGTATACACCATCTGAGAGAAATGTTCCAAGATTGAATTAAAATTAGAAAAACTTGAGATGAAATTTTAATGCTTCAAATATTCTGCATAGTCTCCCCTCACTTGACTACAATGCATAGAATGTTAATATAATCGTATGAAACTGTCAGAGAAATCCTTGTTTGAGATATTGTTCAACTTGCATGTCACTGTGGCTTGAATATCGATTACGTTGTAATAGCATTGATCCTTCACATGAAGTTTGATTTTCGGGAATTTTTAAACAACGAAGTTCTCACAATGCCAAGTCGGGTGAATATGGAGGTTAGCTAAAAATTAGCACACATGTTTTCCCTAGAAACTATACCCCACCTACTGCTTTATGAGGAGGCACAATGTTGTGCAGCAAGAAGAAATCCCTCTCCTTCCATTGTTCCAAACAAACCTGCTGAATTCGTTCTCACAACCAATCCATCGCACCTGGAGATTATAATCTGTCTTAAAACTTATATACAGATAGTATGCTATTTCTGAAGAGACAGCTTAAATAATAAACCTTGCACATTAAAAAGCCATAGATAAACTAATATAAGTATGTTATTGTAGTGTGCATATGGATTCATAATGGATTGGATGCACACAAAACTCATGATAGATTGATGAAATTTATTTTACCAAACAAAACACTTTACAGTTTTGGAACTTTCCATAAAAATACTCATGCAGCTCTTCTCACTATCACAGATCACAATCAGTAGTTACACTTCAAACTATGAAGAATGTTAAACACAATGCTATGGAAACCGCATCTAAAAGGCAAAGTTCTCGCTAATATCTCAATGCTCTAAATTAAGCTTTAAACTAACACTACTGAGAAACTGATGCTCTCCTTCCTGTTACATAATTTTGCCCTGACTGCCGAGAATCCTTAGTACCTTCCAGTTCTCCAAATTACTGGAAGCATAAGAGGGTCAGATATGGTTACAGTTACATATAGGGATCAATTACAGTTGTTCAATTACAATATCCATTCTAGTTATACAGGAACCGGACCAAAATGTCACCAAGTTTAGTGATTTCTTGCCAAATTCATCACCAGCTTGGCAATATCCTACCAATTAAGTGAGATAGCCATTTATCTCAGTGTTAAACAGACCTGTCCCTGTATTCTTATTTTTCTAGCAGAGCTTGTTCTCTTTCAAGTATTTTATGTTACATTGTACCAAAAAAAAAAAAAAAAAAAAAAAAAAATACTACAATTTCACTAAAATTTTTTACATGTATATAAAATCTGTAACATTTTGTGTTTCAAAGGACTTTAATTCATGATTAATTTCTACAGTATTCTTTTTACTTACAGAAAATACTTTACTATTTGTGCATACATTTTGCTTTGCAGAAGTTTCTAAATCATATGTTGAAAAAACTAGGGGAAGAAAAAGAGTAAATGTGGTATTCTAAATCAAATATGGAAATATGAATGATCAAATTCAGGGTTTATTTTTAATGTGATGTATAAATACTAAACTGTATGAAAAATAACCAGAATGTTAGTATATTGATTTGTATTAATCTATTTCATACTAATTTACTTATCTACTTTTTTAATTTAACATGAATAATATGAAAAATAATACTGGATATTGGTCAGCATGTTTCTTGAATTTGCACAATTTATTAATTATATCCTGTTTGTGTTTAACATGTGAGGGGGATTTTATTTAACATAGAAAAGACAGAAATAATTAAGTTTCTTAAATTTTATTTTGGTATCCAATAAGTAATATACAAATAGAAAAGATGAAAAGGAGAATATATGTAGTAAATAAACACAAAATTGTTACTTTAGATTGAAAACCTGAATAGATAAATTAGACAAAAATTCAACTTTGGTCTTATTTATTGGGTGTGTTCTAATTGATGTTTATGGCTGGAGCATAGTCTGTACATTATTATCCTGGCGGTATCATATGTGTACATTAAAATTCATGTGAAATCTTTCAAAACGTCATTTTCCCAACCATATAAATTGTTAGCTTATTTCTTGTATTGATAACCATACAGTAAAACCTTGGTCAATCGATTGAAACATTAAATTTTGATAATATGTGCATTTGATATAGAATAAAATTTCATAAGCAGAGAAACATAAATGGGAATTCCACATATGGAAAAAATATGTGTGTGGTGAGTTTTATTTCAAAATTTTAAAAATCAAACTTTAAGACAAAGCTTCATATCTGGGTTGTGAAGATAAGGGAAACAATAAAGTGTCTGAACTTATCCAGATACTTTTTTTGTCCTCAAAATATTACACTAGCTTCTGCTTGTACAATAAAACGTTAAAAAATTTTAGTGCTTTATGTTGTTTTTAATAAGTAAATAAATATAGTAGGACTTTAAATAACCAGAGTAATTGGGACCACCATCCATCTGGATAACTGCATTCTTTCCTCCAATTCTGAACACCAAATATGCATTTACTGTAAGACAATACTTCATTTTTTCATATAGCACATTTGATTTTGACAAAGATCATACAATTTAAAAAAAGATTGTTAGATGAAGTGCAATACTTCAGTACAAGTATTTTTATATCAGATTGCAACGAAGTGCAATGTATTTTTATATCAAATTAACTCTATTTCATTTAACATGAATTTTATAACAATTAATAAAATATGTTAAGCATGTACTTAAACATATTGTCTTATAATGTAAAAGATCCCTGAGCTTTCCCCAAGGTGGGGGCAGTTTCGTTGTACGACTAGCTATTTTAGTTGCATATTAAGGAGTGTGCTCAGATCCTGGGAAATATGGATTCCTGCAAATGGTTGCACAATTAAGTTATTGATTTGTTAAAAAGTTTCCTTATTATTTTCATCTCTTATAAATTTGACGAGGATTTTTCCAATGTCTTAAATCTACATCAGTTAACGGAAACAGAGAATTTGTGCTTTGAAAAATATGAGGCATCATTTTATAGATGTGTCTGTGTGTCTATTCCCATAATAGCTTATTCTCAACTGAACACCAATTCATTCTCATCAAGAAATTCATTCTTTAAGAAAACTCGTACTAAATTACTGTGTAACCAGAAACAAAATATTAGCTGCATCCTTACTGCATAATATATTGTTTTCATCATGATTTATTAATACTTTAGTGCATAAAATATTTTTTCCATCAGGACTTACTAAGCACAATTCGCGAGAACAACCGCTGAAACCTTTCAAATCGGCCCGAGTTTAAATCTGCTAATGGACAGACTGCAGGTTTTGTGGCTTTTCTCATGAATAACATAAATACGAGCTTTTTTTTTTTTTTTTTTTTTTTTTTTTTCTTTTTAATCATCCACGAAGGCAAACAGCTCTCTTGTGCTTTAATCTCATTTTGCCAGGATCCCTATTATTTTTCTGCACTCCTAGATGTTAAACGCATCTGGATTTAGGGACCTCTGGCTTAATATTCAGAGTAATAAAAAGCGCGGGTTATTTGCTTAAGGAAATCAACGCCTTCGTGAATGGCTTTCTAATGGAAATAGTCTCACATTTACGTTGCACATAGAGAAAACCACTGCAGCAGCGATGTAGCCATCTTTTCGCCGGAATTCGAAACCGATTGGAACTACAGTGGAACCTCGAGATACGAGCACCTCTACGAGAAATTCGAGATATGAAGAAAGCATGAGCAAAAAATTCGTCTCTAAATACAAACATTGACTCGAGTAAGGAGCAAAGGTAGGCGTTCGTATGGCCCGTTTCCCGACTCGGGGAATCCCCTCGTCAGATCACTCAGTGTACTTTGATCTACATGTTTGCGCGTTTATTAGTTAATTGTTTTTTACTTTTAATGTGAAAATAATTATTTCACTATGCCTCCCAAGAAGATTATTGCCTCAGATAGTGCTGAAAAGAAGAAGGAAGCCATAGCCGTTGAAATTTAAAAAATCATAAATAAACATAAGAGCGGCGGAATTGGCGAAGACTTACGGCCGTTCCACATCGACGATCTGCACTATTCTGAAGAATAAAGAAGAAATTAAGAAACTTGATGTGGCCAAAGGAGTTACCGTTACATCCGATCACCGTTTAAAACTCCTAGAAGTTGTTGAGAAGCTGTTGTTGGTGTGGATTAACGAGAAGCAGTTAAAAGGAGATTCGGTGTCGGAAGCTATCATTTGCGGTAAGGATAAGAATCTGTACTTGGATCTTCTCCGAAAAACACCAGATACGTCGACTGAAGACGAGATGGCAATGAGATTTTTGTGGTGTGGAACAGATTAACTGGATTTCAATTATTTTTAGTGAGAAAGTTTTTTTATAGATACGAGAAATTCGCTATATGAGCTCAATGCTGGAACAAATTAAACTCTTATCTCGAGGTTTCATTGTATCATGCTTTAACAGTCTCAGTTCTGGAGACTTTTGCTAAGATCAAATGTAAACAGGACAACTGCTGAAAGTTGAAGGGAAATTTTGTTTTGAAAATATGGGTTATGACTAAACGTCACTGAAATGCGTTGTACATCATAAGACTCGGGACTGCGATAAAGGACGCTTAGACGTCCCTAAGTGATGCAACTGTGGAAAAGAAGGTCACCCAGCCTCGCATAGGGCTTGTGAAAAATTTCCTAGCCTTAAGAAACCTAAAAAGCCCTCTTCTGATCGCCGCAATGGTGTGAGTTATGCTCAGACTTTAAAATCAGGTAGTGAATAACAAAATGCCAGTTCCTCTTCGGAACCTGCTGCTATGGACCTAATTTTTTCTATAAATCTCACTAACGGCACGAACTTGCAGTAGTTTGCTAAACGGCAGTAATCTGATGGAATTATTGGAACTAATGAAA